ATATTCTGTTTCATTTTGAGTAATAACAAATGTCTAATGTGATTTATATAATTAATACATTAGCCACTGGTGCTGAATGCGTTCGTCTTCATATGTTTTTGTTCATATTTAGTAATTTTATATTGATCTTTAACAGATTTTCCCAGGGACTGCAGCTAAGGCAAATGTAATTTTATAATTGTGTCATTCACACCCTTATGAATGGTGTGCTTAGGCTTCCAAGACAGTATACATTAGAGAGAGCCAGCTCCACAGTGTGTACAGTCAAATAACAGAACAAAATAATTTAGAAGCTAAGAAGTATCCCACCCAATCAGATCATTAATCAATAAGGACATAAATCCCTATTCTTACTTTTTATTACTAACATTTTAAAAATGCATAATCTATTTATATATCATCTAATTCTAATATATATCTTACCTTTTCATGTCTCTTGCAGCAAAATAAGCAAACTTTACCTTAATAAATTAATTAATTAATTAAACAGCCTTTTCTGTTTGTACCACTACATTTGAATTTTTTTCTCTTCTTTTTTGAGGAAGGAAGTGAATATTTTTAAATTGTAAAAGAACGCAAATAACAAACACATTTGACTTTGTTTATCAATTGAAACTCCTGATGTTTATTTTTATATAATTGTGTTCTCCTTTTTCACTGCTTTATTACAGTATGGTAGGGGAAGATTCGGTCCTACGTGGAGGAGGAGAAAATGGGTCTTTGGGCATCAGAAGAACAAGGAGAAGACCTATCCTGAGGCTGGTGAAACAAAGATCAAGGGGCCACTTAATTCCTCTGGTCACAAAATACGTTCGCCAAGAGACCACGGTGATAACGGACATGTGGAGGGCATACACCACTGCAATCGCAGAAAGTGGCTTTGTCCATTTCTCGGTGAACCACAGCCGGTCATTTGTGAACCCAGACACAGGAGCCCACACCCAAAACATTGAGCGGGCTTGGTCAACGTACAAGTCCCAGGTCTGGAGACTGCGAGGAAACCGCACAGTGAAGACTCTGAAGAGTCATCTTGCTTTGATCGAGTGGACACATTGGCTGGCAAATGAACACAAAGATGGTCCCTTAGGCAGATTGCTGCATGACATACGCCACTTTCACAAGTTCTGATAGCAACCTCGTTTTCGTTATTAGTCTCATTTGGATTGTTGTTTAAATAAAAATGTAAACTTGAGTGCACAGGGTTTGTTTGTTTGTTAAACTGCTTAACTAATGGTAAGATAATGGTGAGGAAATTATTAGTTAATGGGTAACTACTGTCTTTAATGCATTACTTTACTTGAGGGGACACAAACTGCTTAAGTAACGGTAAGGTAATCATTAGGTAATGGGTAACTACTGTCTTTAATGCATTACTTTACTTAAGGGGACACAAACTGCTTAAGTAACGGTAAGGTAATCATTAGGTAATGGGTAGCTACTGTCTTTAATGCATTACTTTACTTGAGGGGACACAAACTGCTTAAGTAACGGTAAGGTAATCATTAGGTAATGGGTAACTACTGTCTTTAATGCATTACTTTACTTGAGGGGACACAAACGGCTTAAGTAACAGTAAGGTAATCATTAGGTAATGGGTAACTACTGTCTTTAATGCATTACTTTACTTGAGGGGACACAAACGGCTTAAGGAATGGTAAGGTAATCATTAGGTAATGGGTAACTACTCTTTTTGTATGCGTTACTTGAGTTTACCATATACCCAATCTGCCTAAGTAATGGTAAGGTAAGTAATGATGACTTAAGCAGTAACACGTGAGTCAGATCAACCTCCACCAGTCAATCCAGTGTGGGACCCAAGCCAGCCGAAGATGGCAGGTTTAAAAGTGCCCTGCTGCAGCTTCAATCAAAGTCACCCAGGAACTCCTCATTAACTAACCATTAACGAATGATTAATTAATACAGTAGCCCCCAGTCTGTTTACCAGTAACTAACCATCAGTAGTCACTCAGGAACTCCTCATTAACTATCTAGTCGTTGCCTATTCACTACTCAGTAACTACGCACATTTTGTGTACCTTATTGTACATTTTCCTAAAATTGGTATATTTATTTATTTTGGGGCGTGTGGAATGAAAAGAAAAAAATGAGCATTTTATGAGCATGGGATTTTGACCCCTCATATAAACATATGCATAATGCTGCGCTATGCTTTGCAGCCACATGCCGTTGCCAAGCAACGCTTATTGTTTAGGTGTCCTTTGATAAGCAGGCAGTCATATAATTAAATAGAACTAGCTAGATCTGATAGATTTGGACATAAACGCGGCAGATCAGCGGCTGCTGACGGAGAACACGCAGCTCTTCCGGATCACAGCTCCGCCGCTGTGACGGACCACCGAGTTACACCTAACAAACTTAGTTTATCTACTCTGGAACTAGCTAATCTAGTTATAAATATATGTATTCTTTACTGTCGGGTCACTTATAGGTTCAGCGAGCTGCACGAGACTGACGGGCTGTCAGGAGAGGGAGAGGAAAAGAGAGCACCCCGTTTATTTTTCCCATTTTATTATCCAGAATTACTGTACACTTTTGAATAAAGTAGTTAATCTACTATTAGTAGTTTGTTTAAATGCATTACTTATGTTTTGTTTTTTTCATTAACATAAAATAATTTCACGTACCCCCTGCAGTACTCCAACGTACCCATAGGGGACCGCGTAACCCCATTTGAGAACCACTGCTTTAGCTAGCAGTCAGATTATTGTCTGACTTCATGCCAATTATTCAGTAATGCTGTTATAAAGTAAAAACAAAAAACTCTGATTCCTCTCACCAGTTTGTCATGCATGTATTTAATAAACACCACCTGTATTTGGAACACATGAAACTGCACACATTGCTGACAACTGAGGTGTTGTTGGAGTTATACTTTTTATCACCCTAAGTTATTGAACTTTCCAACGGTTGTTGCACAATGTTGGAAGAAAAGGACTGTAAACTATTAAAATGAGGCCATTGTATATATGCTGAAAATATGAATGTCTCCCTTTATAAATATATATATGTATCGCTGTTTTTGCGTTACAAGCTCTAAGTTACAAACTGCACACATTGCATTCTTGCTAATTAGCCAAAATATGAACGGAATAAGTAGCACGCATCGTAACAGAGTAAAATAAATAGGGACAACAGCTTGTCAACTAACCATTCAGAAACGTCCTGCTGCAACCGAGATGTTTGCACCTCCACCAAAACCTCCGCTGCTTCAGGGTCAGTCTCTGGATCAAATTGATAATATGCTTGAACACATGCATTGCACTGAGATGGCATGTTTATTCCACACTCGTAATCACAGCAAGCATGGTAACGTGACTCTCGCCGGCTCATGCCCCGCTCTTCTGCAGGGGGGCGTGGTCAGCTGCTGCTCAGAATTTTCAAAGACAGGCTTGGAATAGAGCTAAAATGAGCTAAACGAGGCATGGCTAAAAAATGATCTGTTTGGTATTTTGAAAAATAAAATGTATAAATATACCTTATATAGGTATGGTCATACACTATATCATTACAAAATAGCACGATAGGTCTCCTTTAAATAAAAAATAAAAAATGCCTTGCACACAAATTCAGCAACCGAGTTGTAAAAGCAGCTACAAGTGGGAAACAACAGTGAAGGAACAAGCAAGGAGTGATTTGCAAGCGTATAAGAGTATTATTATACATATAAATATATAATAAAGTTTATTTATTCTCATCGCTACCCGTAGTTGTAGCGGAGCTCGGCAAATTTGCTGATTTTGACTATACGGAGTTGGACACCAGCATTACTCCAAATAAACAATAATATCGATAATTAATCTGAAAGGTGAAGCTGTGTGTTGTGTTCCCGGGTTAGGGAAAACATTTTTGACTTCTCTGTAAACAGTTTAAATAAATGTTCAAATTATGAACTTTCCTGCCTTCAAGGAAAACACACTCAACCCCCTGAGAAGCCCCTCCCCACAGTGAAGCCTTGTGAAGGCAGCATCATGTGGGAGTTTTTTTATCAGCAGCGAATGGGAAACTGAGCAGATTTAAAGGAATGATAAATGGGGCCAATACGGTTTAATTCCTGAGCAAAATGTGTAGCAGTCTTCCAGAGATCTGAGGGTGGGACTGGGGGTTCGCCTTCCAGCAGGACAGTGAGCCAAAGCATATAGCTAGAGCAACTTGGAATACCCTAGTCAAAACTCAGTACTCAACTCAATAATCTGAGGTATAATTTAAGGTTGCTGAACACCAGCAAAACTCCTCTAATTTACAGGTATTAATGAAATAAAAATGGAGAAATGCCAGGGGGTGAAAACCAAGGCATAGCAAGGCACGGAATGTTGTCCTCATAGTAGCAGGATCTGTTCACCACAGCTCTACACCCCGAGTATCCCACAGAGGTGGCATGTGTCCGGCTGCACCGACTGCTCCTCACGGACTGACCTGAACGGTGGTCATGTTCATGTACACTTTAAAAGCACTTACTTCCACAGCATAGTGGCGATCGTCACAAGGGAGGGGGTTTGTAAGTGGTAATTTTTTAATGCATCCTTCATCTGTGAGATGGAAACCCAAGATCCCCTATAGCAGCGCTTCTCAAAGTGTGGTCCGTGAGTATATTGGTAAAATTTCACATTTGAAATAAATACATTTAAGTTTTCCGCACTCTCGCGGGAATATCTCCGCAATGGAGCGAGCTTAAGTTTCAGCAACACCTTCATCACACATGTTGCCACTTGTTTGTGCCATTTTCATGTAATTTGTAATCTGTTCTAGAAAAACGATGTGATTTTGGATATTTGTGGAGTTAGGTGGCATGCAAGTGTTTTTTTTATTGGTTAAGTGGTCCTTGGTATGAAAAAGTTGGAGAAACACTGCCCTATAGGAAAAATAACAGTTTGCTCTTCTGATTTCCCTGCATAGGACAAATATGTGTCACCATCCCATGTTGTTATCAAAAGTTATCAAAGTACACTTCAGATATAAGTCCTAAAATGAAATGGATGAACGCGTGAGCTTAACATTTATTAAAACGTTCAACCCCTTAAAGAGGCAAAAGCAACACTGATAGAAACACAGAAATACTTCTAAATATATATCAAAAGTGAAGTCAGTCTGGTCAGTTCACAGAGAGCCTGTATCTACAGTCTGTAAGGGGGGGGTTAGAAGAAGTCTGCTGCTGAAGGCCGGCGTTTAGCAGTCTCCTTTGGAGTATTGTGGCCGCTCTTCCTGTTGGCCTTCGGGGTCTTTCTGGCAGAGAGTGCTGTGGGCGGAGACTTTAAGACCCCAAACTTGGGTTTCTGCTTTGGGTCAAAGGGCACTCTTGATGACCCGTCTGGACTCAGCAGCAGGCTGCGGTCCGTCTTCTTGAACTCTGCACCAGGACACAGGAAACAAGCAACACTGTTACTACAGTAAGAAGGCACTTACTGATTGAAACATTATTTGTCTTTCAGAACCTCTTGACATATTTGAACATCTACAAAAGTGTAATTTTTTTTGGTGTGCTTTTTGCAGAGGGGTGTACCACGAAGCCAGATTAGTGGGTTAGCGAGGTATTTGGAGACGAAAGTCCAAATTTGCCGTACCATTACTATGGCTCTCTAACCGGACTACATCACCATGGCAACTTATGCTGCAGACATAACCGGCTCTGGACCAGGTTATTATTTATTTATTTTTAACCAGGAAAAAGTCTCATTGAGATTAAAATCTCTTTTCCAAGAGCGACCTGGCCAAGAAAGCTCGGTTGGATGCTACACAATCGGATGCTGTTGGTACCTGTTCATGTGGATAGTTATTATAAATTGTAATCCCTGTAATGATGCTGTATGATGTCCTTTTTGTTGTTGCTCTTTCATGTGGAACCTACTTGAGCAGGTCTCCCTTGAAAAAGAGATCAATGATCTCAAGGGATTCACCTGGATAAATAAAGGTTTGAAATGAAAGGCAAAGTCACAACAGATAAAACACAGACAATACATGTAGATGAATACAGCGATCATAAAACGTAAATTAAATGGAACATTAACCAGCCAATATGCAAATAAAAGAAATTATAAAACATTAAAACTGGCACAATTTAACACGACTTCAATTATGAGATATAGCCATTGTTGTTCGCTGACGGACTTGAACTCCCCCGTAGTGATAAAATGTGAGTTTCAGCTCCTTCTGTACATTACTCCAAGCAGCATATTTAAAAGCTTTTTTACCCAGTTCTGTTCTCACTTTAGGAACCAGCATCTGAATAAAATCTTGGGAGCGCAGGCCATATAGACTTTGTTTTTTTACACATATGTGCAAATATAAGAGGGAACCATCCCAAGCAGAGATTTATATATAAAACCCGACCAATGGGAAAGTCTACGTGCAGACTTTTATGGTTATGTTCAGAGTTATATCTTGAAATTAGCAAATACTGCTGTTCACTAACTAGTTCCTCTGAACATAGCGTCACTTGATAGTTAATCTATGAGCACTACAGATGATCAGTTAGGGGAATACTTTGTGTAAACTGAAGCAGTCATGTTTCATTAGATAGATGGATAGATAGGTACTTTATTGATCGCAATTTGGGAAATGTTTGCATTGCAGCAGCATAATAAAACACAAGGCAATGTACATAAGAGAAACTAAGATACAGAAATAAACAATCATATATTTCAGAAATAGAAATAAAATAGCATTAGGAAGTAAAATATATATATACACACACACGTGGAAAATATACATGTGGAAATACAAATCTCCAGTAACAAATATAATGCAGGATATTATTGTGCAAGAATGGATTATTCAATATTAAATAGAATGCCACAGAACAAGGCCGTGCAGTTACAGTAGCTCAAACTATATGCATCTCATTATTTATTAGTGATGCAGAACAACACAGCAAGAAAACTGTTGTGTCCTCGTTATTTTTAAGGAGGGTATTATCGTCAAGTTTACAGTTCAAGAGCTGCAGAATGTGAATTTGTCAAATAAGAAATAAACGGGAGGTACGGATTGCATCGAGTGGTTATTTACATAGAATGCTAGCGAATTTATACGAATACCTTTTTTTCATAATATATTCTAATAAAACGTCAATATTGACCCATTTCGTCCGGGCACATGAGTGACATGACGCTCAAATGCCTCTTTATAGGCGCACGCACTGATAACCACCTTCATGGTACCCGTTTTCTCTGATCAGGAGTTTCAGTTTGGTCCAGCCAAGTCAAAGAAACTCTGACTGTTGAACTCGCTCCATAGTATACCCCCCAGGTCAAAGGCATTCTTGAACATACAATGCCAACTGGTAAACCTCCATATGCTGCTGGAGATCTTTTTTCAAAACGGCTACTAAATGGACCCTGTGCTACTCCACCATTAAGATGATGAGATCTGCTGTCTCCTGATTGGATGTTCTCAGGCAGAGAGCTGCAACTCTTTTAGAATAGCACTGTGACTCAAGTCCCACTAGAGCAGAACATGCCTTTATATCTGGTTCAGTACATACTCCCACTGACATTCGTAGTTATGCATGTTGTCTTTTTATATCTAATTTTAACCCGTACATGTAAAGTATCTTTGTGTACTGTGAAAAGTACTCTATAAATCAATGTATTTTTGTCATCGTCATGCAAACTATTAGGTGGCTAATTTATTGGACGGATTAGGTTTTTTGTATCCCCTTTACGGAGAAAAACAACAGTGGCTGACAGTAAATCTTGGTACACATTACCAGAATGTATGCATTTTATCTTCTGTGGTGTAGAAGAGCAAATAAGTCCTGTCAAACTAACAGGATGAAAAAGAAGACGTCCTATGGATATTACCAACGGGTTATTTCCTGTATGGAGGCTGTGTTTCTTTAATTTAATCTCTCTCAATGCTGACATGTAGACGTGTTACTATGGTTACTTAATAAGATGCATAATCACTTCACAGATGGTATTCTGGTTTAGCTTTTAAACTGGTAATAGGGCTGCAAATGCATTTTTTGTTCATTATCAATTAATCAAAAAATTGTTGTTTTCAATTAACCGATTAATCTCTTGGTTGAAAAACATAAGAAAAAGCCTAAAATGAACAGAGCCCAAAGGGACAATATTAGTGTATAACGCTCAAATATCAGTTATCCTTAAGGACCAACATCATGTGTGTCTTCTAGGTGTGACTCCAGCCTGTGCGTAAACTTGCTGACATGTGTCTTGATGATGGTTGTGATCAAAACAAGTAAACGTTACATTGATGACAGCCTTGGCGCTGATCATTAATCATCTAATCGTATCTGATTTCTTACCAGCTGTCTTGTTATTCTTGAGGCCGAACGTCACCTTCTTTGATTCTGACAGGGGAGTTTGGATCTTCTGTAGAATAAAAACATAGAAGATAAGTCACACATGGTTACATCAGTGGATAGACTTTTTTATAGACTGTTGTATAATGTTTCCATTGTTTTAATACATTTTTCATGGAAACCTGAACAGCACTCTATATAAAAACACCCGTCTACTGAATGACCTCTTGGCATCTAGTGCCAGTACAAGAGCTTCCATAGTCTTGTTTGATGTGGTTGATTACATAAAGAGTACGTCTGATATTATCACGTGTTTGACTCTGTCTAAGATTATCAACCTGCAACTTGGATAAGACATTAGGGATTTAGATCAGGGGAACACAGGATGAACCAAAAGAGCGACGTTGTTCTCCTGGAAGAAGTCCTTCGTCAGGCGGGCGTTGTCCTGCTGAAAGACCCAGTCATCACCTCACAGACGAGGGCCCTCAGTAGAGAGGGTGCCCGCTGTAACATCTCCACAGAGCCATTTAAAGCACAGCCTGAATCTATGTGTGCCATTGAAGGAAGAAGCACCCCAGATCACCGGTGCTAAATTATCTTCCATATCTTATTTAAAATTGGGATCACTTTTAACCACAGGCTTTCCCCAATGCTACTCCAACTCAATGGGAACAAAAACAGGACAAAACAAAGAACGTTATTGGGACTGAGAATATCAACTTTCCGAAACAAAAATGTTCATAGAGAGGTCATGTTTGTGACCTTAGGCGCTTTCACACCGCAGTAGTTTTCCCACAAAAGGTTCATGAGAACTTAGTTCATGAGAACTCTTTAGTTCTCATGAACTAAGTACAGATCGCGTTCACACTGAAATAAGTTCCTAGGGAAGGATTAGGCAAATTAAGCCGCTGACATCACTTCTTCTTCTTCTTTGGGTTTACTGGCAGGCCGCAAACAACTTCACGGCATACACTGCCACCCGAAGTCCCCGGCCGGAAGTCCCCGGATTTGGGGACTGGCTTCAGTAGAAGCTGCTGGGACTCCCAGCAGCTTCTACTGAAGCCTTCAGAGTAAATCGCCAGGACGCCGACACCTCCTCATCTCCACCGCTCCCATGTTTTATTTTGTGTTGCCATAAGTTAGTCTCTCTGCGTTTCTGCGCTGGGCTAATAATGCTAATGCAAAAATAATAAAATGGCGGCTTCACAAAACTTTTTTGGAGTTTTACGGGGCGTGGTTTGCATTCCGCCCAGCCAATCAGAAATAGGAACCTTTTTCTCCCACGAAAGTCCCTGCTCTCTAGCAGAAGGGGGTAAAAAAGGTTCTGATTAACTCATTTTTAGTTCCGGATTTTTTTGGTGTGAACGTGACATTTCGGAACAAAAGTGGGAAAAGCACTGCGGTGTGAAAGCGCCTCTTGTCTGAGCCAAGATATTGTAATGGCTTGGAGGGATGGTCTCTGCAGCCTTCAGGGTTTCAGAGAGCCCTCCTGTGACAGCTTCATTAATTAGTCTCTTGTGAACCGTCTACAAACCGGCAGTTTTTCTTTTCCCCTTAGTCATTACACTAACACCATGTTAATAATACATGTCTCCTAGACTGTGTTAACCACAGAAAGAAGGGTCTTGCCATCAGGCCGCTCAATCGGAAGTCCACGTTTAGTTTTTTTTAAGGGATAAGATTATATAATTGTAATGCAACAGACTAGTTTACTAGAGATTCAGAAGGCAGAAAAGACCGGCTCTCTTTAATCCATTCAATGATCTCAGAAATATGTCCTAACAATGGAGGACCTGGTGAGAGCATCATCTGAGTGAATTAAGGAATAATATCCAGACCAATGGGAGAATCTGTGCACAGCCAATCGGCACGCGTACATTGACATCAGTGGACTTGAGACCGTAAAAAACACATGTTTACGCCCCCTGCTGTGAACTGCAAATATTTCTTTTTGGACCGCTCCGTCCATGCGGTGCGCTGTGTGACTCATGCGCTTTTAGATGTAACATTTAATTTATATTTCCAAGGTTCATTATTACAGTCTCATTTTATATTAGCACAACGTACCATATTCCAAATAGTGGTGATATATTTAATATATCATATACGAGCAACGATTAGTCCGAATTGACAACTACTAGTCGACTAGAAAAATATTTCGCGAGAGGCAGCCCTAATAACAATGTTTTCAATTTTAAGTCATTTAAATATCAGCTTTCAGAAGAACAAAACTAAAATGAGCAGCTAATATGAATTACTTGTGAAATATTGGCATCATGGTGCTCTTGCAGCTGTTCATCATGAAGAGCTTCTGTACTGCTGCCACACACTAGCTAGCGGTGAGCTACAGGGGTTAGTGCCTCAGGGAATGTACACCTAAAGATTCTCTTCAATCTGTCAGGTCATCACCTAATCATGAATGTGGACGTGCATTCCTAGTAGGGCTGAACGATATACCGTGTCATAGGGGTGTTGCAAATAATAGTTTCTACGATGCATTGCGATGCGGACGTGGACGATTCGGTATCGATGCAGCAGAGGTGGGACCAAGTCATTGTTTTGCAAGTCCGAGTCAAGTCTCAAGTCTTTGCGCTCAAGTCCGAGTCAAGTCTCAAGACATTGTTTTGCAAGTCCAAGTCAAGTCTCAAGTCAGGATGGGCAAGTTCAAGTCAAGTCAAGTCCTAAACTTTGACAAAACGAGTCATAAACAAGTCATTATGTGTTTTTCACCAAATGTAATGACATCGATCAACAGAATAATACTTAATAATCAAATTGCTCTTTATTAGTCACATTAATAATTTAATAATCCATTTTCTCTCTGCTGGTAAAGTAACGTGTGTTTTTCTAATTTAAGAGAGATCAGTAAGGTAAGGCTACCGTGACGGTTTGATTCAGAAGGAGTTTAATGTATAAGATCCCTGATGTTGAGGTAACCAGAATGTTTATTTCCACTGTGTACAACATGTTATGAGGGACCCACAATCTATCTTTATGCAAGGGATAATGTGCAGCCAGGCGGTCTCTATGGGGAAAAGAACACCTGCATCTAGATCCCTCTGCAGGTGGTACTTTAAGTATATTTTGATGCTAATACTTTTACTTGTAACATTTTGAATGCAGGACTTTTTATTGTACAGGGTTCCTGCAGGTTTCGCCAACTCAAATTTAAGACTTTTTAACACCTTTTTAAGACCACTTTGAATATAATTTAAGACCTATTTAACGGCAATAAAGTATGAAGGAAAATGTATATAAAGAAGAAATACGTCCCATAATCACTTACAAAGTAAATGTATTCATGTTCAACATAACAATGACAACACAACAGCGTAACAGTACAGAACTGTGTTAGCGTGTTAGACAAAAAGTGTGTATGTGTGTGCTTGAGTGTGTGTGTGTGTGTGTGTGTTAGGGCTGTGCAATTAATCATATTTTAATCGCAATTACGATTTTGGCCTGCCACAATTACGAAAACAACATAATCGGAAAAAACGATTATTTTGCTTTGCTAGGTTGTGACAGTGCACCACAACATATTTGATCTAATGAATTTTTTAGTAATGTATCATTTATTTAATTAATTTTTGTATTGGTTTTTCAGTTGAATTATACGTTCAGGGTAATCAACAGTTAAAAAGATACTGTTCAAATTATTATTTGTTTTAAAGTTCAATAAATGGATGTTTTCAAAGTCAATGAATAATCGTATTTAATAATCGTGATATTAATTATTGACCAACATAATCTTGATTATTGCCATAATCGAGCAGCCCTAGTGTGTGTGTGTGTGTGTGTGTGTGTGTGTGTGTGTGTGTCTCTGAGAGAGAGTGACAAGAGCTATATTCAGAGCTCTGCTGCCTTGGCTACACTATTTCATCGTTGCTGTTGTATGATTGGTGTTTAGCTGCGGTATTTAGCGTCTACAGCACCTCCGCTTTTAGGGTTGACGTAGACCCAAACTTCGCCCGGAGGTCCCCCGGTGTTGTTGCGGGAGCTGCTCCACTAGCTAACGCTCCACCAGCTAACGCTGCATTAGCTGCTGCTGCTGCACTAGCTAACGCTACATTAGCAAAACAAATGCTAATTTATTTTGCAAAAGGTGCAGCGGGCTTCAAACACGTTCCCTCCACTGGTTTCAACCAAGCACTAAATTAGATGTTTTCCAACCAAATACGGTTGAACTTACACTTCCCCATATTTATTTGTAAGTAGATTCGAAGATGGGCTACATGAGCTGAAGCTTGGTTGCTAGGTTACTAGCTGGGTGTTCTCCAATAAGGGGCCGGGGGAAACAAAGTTAGTGATTACTGGTTCCATGTTAATTTAATTCAATACAAATTGTTGGGGGGAACTGAAAGGCTATTACCGCACTGGTTACTTTGCAGCCCGGACATTTCCCCCAAAACACATTTAGACGCTATCGCAACACAGAAGTACCTTTCAAATCCGATAATTTTTAAGACCTTCTGAATCATATTTAAGACCTTTTTAAGACTTGTTATGACCCTGCGGGAACCCTGATTGTAACTTTTTTTAATTGTCTGAACTTCTCCCACCTCTGACAATAAATCCTGAGTGGTTACCAAAAAAAAAACCCTGCTCTGAAGGTTATTTTCATTTTTACAAATCCTGCACTCAGCTTTGCTTTCTCCAATATCATTGAAAAGCAGCCAGATGCTGCTTCTTTTTTCGGTTTTCGCTCATTTCTTGACTTTTTCCGACGCGCTTGCATTTAAATCCGGCTCCCCGTCGCTCTGTGCAGCTGGCCTGTACCACTACACATGTTGTGCCCCCCACCCTTCTTTCACATAATGGTATGATCCTAGTGTGTCCTCGCATATGATTGGCCGCATGGTGGCCCCTAAATAAAGACCCGCCCCTGCCTGCAACCAAGGATTCTCAGCAAGAGTAGGAGCGGCTGAAGATTCTGCTCTCCCCGACGGGAGTCTGCTCTTCTAGCGGCAGCTCGCGATCGGCGTGTTGGAGACCTCTGAATTAAAGTAGCAAGTCACCTCAAGTCAGAAGGCTCAAGTCCAAGTCAAGTCCCGAGTCATTGGTGTTCAAGTCCAAGTCGAGTCGCAAGTCTTTTGTGATGTTGTCAAGTCGAGTCTCAAGTCATAAAATGTGTGACTCGAGTCTGACTCGAGTCCAAGTCATGTGACTCGAGTCCACACCTCTGCGATGCAGTGACGGAAGATAATCGGTTATAGCGTAGTAACGTTGCTTCCTGATTTTCCGGCCGCGGCTTTACTATAACGTTTTTTTTTTTCTGTCACTTTAATATCAAATCGGTCGGTGACGCAGAGATCAGGGAACATAAGTGACAGCGGCACAGCAACACCAAACACGGAGCAGTCTGCTTTATCCACCAACACAACACCACCAGTCCAGAACCAACAGCAGAAGGACCTGCTCTGAATCACTCTGTGTCGCTACGGCACAGGGATTTATGTTTTTTCAAAAATAATCGCGTTACAATCATGTCAGGTTTTTGGTGGATTTAATTAAGTCTTGGATTGCAAAGTATGAATGTCCTCTAGCAATTTTCAGACGATATATACGTGTGTAAAGTTTGTGAAGGCAGGAGGAAAAAAGCTTCCGCGATCACCGTCTCCTCTCTGCTGCTACAAGCCCCGCCCCCTCCCTGAAAATAATGAGTGACAGGCTGATAGTGACCCGATAGAAACTTTATTATTCACTGAGATATAATGAAGCTAATTTAATCTCATACATTCATGGGATTTATGTAACAGTAAGACAGAGAATGTAAGTGTGCACCCACATGCAGTATTTTTGTTTGTATATGCTGTTGTAAATACTCCTGTTGTCTGCTGTGTTCAGACTCAAGTCCTGTGTGTGATGCCACATTCAGGACATTCAGTGTACTTTTTTTAACAGAAGACCGTTGAGCTGCAGCTAGACTGCAGAAGCATTATTTTTTTTGTTTTTGAGGATGGAACAATTTCACACACAGATATAGGGAGGCTAGACCTATACAATTCATTTATTTTGGTTTATAAATTAATGTCAAGACATTTATGTTATTAATTTCTGAAGCACTTTCTAAATAATAAAAAGAGAGTTCATATGTATTTACTGCATGTATGCATTGATGAAAAATAAGCCATGTGCAGTAATATAGAAAATTGAGGATGCAACGCATTGGTATGAATCGTGATGAATCGGGATATCGAATTGAATCGAATCGTTGACAGGATAATCGTAATCGAATCGTGAGACCAGTGAAGATGCACAGCCCTACTGTGTCATGGCGATAACCGCGATATGCGCATGCGCGATATTCACACCGCAGGGACGTGCAGTTTTATAAAAACATTTTTAAAATGCTAACGCACTTTAGCACAGAATTCAAAATAAAGATACCCTTATTACTTATCGAAACTGCACATACAATATATCCGATTAAAGCTGAGACTCCACAGATTATTTAAGTATAGTATCTAAGCGATCCGATCTCGCGACAGGGGAAGCAAACAGACATCACAACACGTACCTTTTACGGGAGATTGTCTCAACGTAGCTGTCAATCTGATCAAAAGACGTGTTCAATAGCATTAAAACGAGAAAAAACGCAGCTGAATCGGTTGATCCATATGTTAATAATGTATCTGTGGCTTTGAAGCAATTGTTTATAATCCATAATTCCATTTTTATGTAAAAATCGGAGCACAAAAGTTAGCTGCTAATGGTAGCCACCAGTGTATGCAGCTGCCGGTTTTTGCTTCCCCTGTCGCGAGTTCGGATCACTCAGTGATGATACTATATACCTAAATAATCTGTGGAACCTCAGCTTTAATCGGATATCTTGTATGTGCAGCTACGATAAGTAATAAGGGTACTTTTATCTTGAGTTCTGTGCCAAAGTCCGTTAGCATTTTTCGCTCAGGGGTCATTTAGATGCTTCTTATGAGACTTGTGTTTTGTTTTGGTAAAAATGGTTTGTATCGTCAGTTAGCTGAGATTATTTCCGTTAATCTGGTATAACACATTAATAGGTTCATAAATATTAAGATCCCCTGAGACAGTGTCGTGAAAAAAAAGTAAAGTACCCGCCGGGACCTTGGGGCTTAACAGGTTAAAAAACCGCAATATATATCGCAGGGGAACAAAAAAACGCAATGTCAGTTTTTTTCAATATCGTGCAGCCCTAATTCCTAGCTTTGAAAAATATATTATCAGGACAAACTTTGGACTGGAGTTTACGGACCAGCGGTTAATAGACAACAGCTGAAATATCCAAAATCAAAAGAGAATGGTTCACCCAAAAATTATTTTCTTTGACATTGTCACTCTTACTCCGAGTAATTTCTCTGTCTTGAAAGAGCGTTTTGTTGCGTTCTGTGAGATGTTCAGTTCTTCTGTTGTTCTTTACCTTCTTGCCGGACAGCGGCTTGCTGCAGAACAGAGCCGGGGGGGCTGCAGCGTTCATCTGGAAGGTGATTAGGTCAGACGCAGAGCCTGAGGAAGTCTTTGCCTTCTTTTGTGACTTTTTAGATATGGATGGCTTAGCAAAATCCTGAAACAGAAAACCAGTTCAGAAGTCACCTCTGTGTTATCTCAGTGTAATCAGAGTCTCTTCTCACCAAATACTCACAGTGCCTGCTTTGGGCTTCTTGGCGACAGTTGGTTTCTCTGCCAGGCCATTGGTGGATGCAGCCTCCAGTTCATCGGCCTCGTACTCAAACGTCACTGGGATCTTTCTCTTCTTCTTCACACCTTTCACAGAGGAAGACACAGCTCCAGTTCCTTCCAGTAGGAGCTCATTGACACAGCCATCCACCTGTAAATGGGTTTCATCCTGCTCATCCATCTTGGCTGCTGCCAACTTATTTTTCTTCTTTGCTGGTGTTGTCATGGTGATCTTAAACTCAGCATCTTTAGCCTGAGGGTTTCCCTCCGCTGCATCCTTTTCCTCTGAAGTCTGAGGTTCCTTTGGAGTCTTTTTCAGCGGTTTTACAGTGCTTTCAGCTGCAGCAGGTGAAACTGTGTCCACTTGGTTGGCATTTTTATTTTTTTTAAGCTGCTGTGCGGAGGCATCTTGTGAAACTTCAGAGTGTTTTTCCTCTACCTCCAAATGTGCCTCAGTCTCAACATCTGGTACTTCAACAGCCTTGTGGTTCTTTTTCGTACTCTTCTTGTTAATCTGGGTTGTAGAATCAGTTGGCTTCTCGACTGAAGTAGTCGGGCCCTCTTGGCTTGAAGGCTGACAGTCTGCTGGGAGATCTGCACCTGTGCTCACAGCATTACCCTCAGTGTCAGATGTCGTCGTTTCATTTATTTCAGCAGACTCCTCACTAGTTACTGGTGTGATCTCTGCCTCAGCGGTGTCCAGGGATTCATCAGCGATCTCATCAGTTGGTAACTTTGCTTTTAGACTCTTCTTCTTCTTTTTCTTCTTCCCAGAGACAGTTGCAGGGCCTTCAGAGGAACTCTCTGTTACAACAGGAGTTTGCTGCTCCTCGGCCACCGTCACGTTGGCTCTGACATCACAAGTCTCCACCTCTTTCTTCTGTGCAAGCGTTTCAGAGCTGTCCTTGTTGTCAGAGGTGCAGGGAGCTGGAAGGCTGCTTACGGCTGTGATAGTAGGCTGTTTGTTTTCTTCAGTAAGGAGCACAGTGTCTTGCGTCTGTGCTGCCTCTTCTAAGTGTGGTGTTGGTGCACACTGCGGCCCTACTGCAGTCTCTTCTCCTTCAGCTGGAGCCACTGAGTGTTCAGGCATGTCTGCATCTCCCTCTCCACCTGCACTTCCTCCCTGTCCCACTTTCTTTTTCTTCTTCCTCCTCTTCTTCTTCTTCTTTTTGTTTTCATTACTTGCATCAAGGTCAGCTGGCTTCTTATCTTCTTTCCCTGACTCCTCCTTGCTTTGCTTGTTGAGTTTGGAGGCCGCCTTTTTCTTTCCTTAAGTAAGAGACACAGATCAGTTAAATATATTGAAATCATTAAAAAGAAAGATTTGAAAAGGGGAAAGGTTTCTATAAAAACACTTACACCAGTTTGTGTTTAATGACCTGCCTCAACAACAAAAATGTTCTGTAAGTTAAATATGAAGTTTGCCGAAAGGTTGGATCACTCATTGATAGGTTAGGACAAGTTTACCCTACACAAACAGCAATGTCAAACAGAGTAGGTTAGTGAAATATCAAAAGAGAATTCAGTCTGATCAATGTTTACCTGTGCATTAACATCATTCTTTGTTAGGTTGCCTAGCTACAATGTTCTTTCACCACAGCGTTCCACACAGAGACACCCGACCAACCGCTGCCCTGGACGTCAACATGTCGATCTCATTAGAACATGTTAACCTGTTAAGCCCGAGAGACCCCGGTACCGGGGCACTCCTGCAACATCTGTCTGACAGTGTCTGAGGGCATGTTCATTTAATAAACTATGAATGTTTTATATCCATGTAACGGGAAGAAAATCATCATTTTAATTTTTTTCCCAAAAAAAAAAATCCCACAATGCTTACGCTGAGCCTCTGAATTAGCAACGAGATTACTGCACCGAAATTCACTCACAAAACCTTATTATTTATCTTTTCTGCACATCCAACACATCATTTCACATCGTGAGATGACACAGAATCGATGGGTACATACATTATCACTCAATGATACGAACTTGCGACTTTATAAACAGACATCAAAACATGTGGCGCTAGGTAGCTAAAAATGCTAACATGGCTTACCTGTGTCGTAGTCTGGTCAAAAGTGGTCTTCAATGGCATTAAACGATAAAAACGCTGCTGAAGTTAAGCCATAGGTTAATCCAATGTGTCTGTGTCCCTTTGAAATCATTTCTGATAATCCATAAGCAATAAACCTGCTTTTCCGTTTCCAGATGTCAGAGCTAGAGATAGGTTCGCTGTGATACAAAACTGCATGCGCGAAGCCCCCACCTTTTTGTTTTACCATGTGTGTGAGTGGGGAGATTCCCCTTCGATTCTATTGGCTCTAACGGTCAGAAAGAGATGTCAATCACTAAAATCGACCAATGCGTTCCAGAGAAACGGTAAAACCCCCATTTCCACACAAATCACCTCAGAGGTGGAGTTTTTTTGTGCTAAACCTCTCTAAAAAGGTCAAATGTCACTTGTTTTTGCATCAATCTTGATACAGGGTACTTATTATATGTTGTACTTTGGATTCCTAAAGCTTTTAGTCTACCTTACCATCATCCAAGGGTAGTTTTCACTATAAGTAAAAAAGAATTTTTGGACGGACACTATAATTTACAGTTTTTTTACTATGTTCAATCTGAATTTTCTTTAAAATAAAAAACATCTATATTGATTCTGACTTTTCTACATCCAACTCACAGGTTTATCATTAGTTTGAGAAAAAAGATTATTAATTTACCCCTTTTAGAAGGGAAGATATGGTCATTTGTTCTGGGAATGTCATTTTCGGGCCTGAGACCTGAAAAACAGGCTCAGGGCTAAACTGGTTAAGGTGTATTCAGAAATGTGGAGAGAAACACTTAAAAGTGGTGTGGGAATAAAATATGAAAAGAAACCACTTTTATAGTTTATGGTTTCATCTGATTGTTTCAACAAGGAAAATAAAGAAACTCCTTTTTTCAAACCAACTAATTAGAGGGAATGGAGTATAACAGGTTACATTGCTCCCTTTTTACAAGGTAAGCTGTAATATTCATTGCTTTATGAACCTGTTAAGCCATGGGGCCTCATTTATAATGCCTTGCGTAGGATTCAAATGGGAAGGTTGCTTACGTAGTACAAAGCAAAAAAATAGGTACGGAAATTTTCCGATTCACAAAACATTGCGTACCGGCGAGGGAAGTGCGTACGGCACTTCCTACGCCGGTTTCCCTTTATAAATCAGAATCGACTCGAAATGCGGCTCAACTTTTGCGGGCTTCTTGTAACGCCCATATTTGCCTATAAATAGTCAAAGAAACACCCATTCATTCAATCATGTTGACTGACTGCATGAAGAAGATAGCAGGAAATGACGACAGAACAACTAAAAAAAGACATCTCACACCGTGCCAGATTTTGGTTATTTTGGGGAGGTCGAGATAAATCATATTGTTTGGTGGATGCAGTTTGAACCAGAGCAGCAGCATGGAGGTCGGATCGTCACCAAAATAAATAAATAAGTGGTCTGAAAAAGGTTAATGACAAAAAAAATACACATAGCCTTCCTCAGGCAGTGTGTTTGTACTGGGGACAGGAGACCCCCCTTGATGAGAGACTGTAAGAAATGATCGGGGAATCCCTCCAGAGTGGAGTCATGACGACTGGATCTGAATTATTGTTTTGTATTTGGTGGTTTGTGTTCCAGCTGTCGATCAGCAACTATATATCCATAATCCACCAGTTAAAAGGAAATACAACTAATGTGTTGTGTTATATTAGCTGTACAATTGACCACATATGGTGTTCTTAGCTTCCATACCTCCTGTGTTTTACGAGAGACTTATCAAGTAGGCCAGGGGTGGCCAACCAGTCAGAGGTTAAGAGCCACATGTTTTCTATGTTACTGCAAGGAGCCACATCAAACACACAGTCACTGATACCGCTTGTTTCAGTATTTTGTTTTCTGGAGACAAGATTTCAACCACGTCACTGATTCATTTTTGTGGCATTGGGATATATTTTTAAAATCCTCTGGAGCAGAGAGAGGAGCTGTGTATTATTGTTATTGATTAATGCATCAGTGTTTCTTAGGGTCAAAAACACTAAACCCACAAATTAAAATGAAAGCGTTTAGTTTATTTAATAAAAGAGCACATGTTCAATGTGAAAAGTGACAGTAGTTATAGATTATTTGCAATTTGATGCTATATATATTTAAAAAAAGTATATATATAACACCTTGAATTTCAGGGGGGGCGCGGGGCTCCGTTGGCGGCTCGCAGTGCCCCTCCAAGACAATGGTAGGGGAAACACTGAATAGTGTTTAATCAACAATAGGTTTCCCCCCTCAAAGGTGATTGGTTCACTGCATTGCAGGTATTATTGTGATTGGCTGTTGGGCCACATCAAAATTAGACGCGCTGTCATCCTCTCATACTGACACCTCACACCACACATACACACGTAGGGGGAGCCGGGACGAAAGTAACACGGGACCAAAGTAACGGAGCGATTTTATCCGAGCCCAAACAACTTTGACCGGCCAAATTACGTCAGAATGATCAGCATTCAATACTTAACAGACCTACTAAATATCAGGTTTAACTGTCAGTGTTGTCACGATACCAACATTTTGGTTTCGATACCAAGTCAAGAATTGCGATTCCGATTATTTTTCTTAAAAAACGGGAAACAGTCTTAAATGTAATTATTGTGCTTTATGTCACACCAGAATCATAACCATAACACAAACTTTTAAACAATGAGAACAGTAAATACAATAAATGACAAGAATTCGTATTAAATAAAATTAATACATTTCTTACAGACAGGCCTCGTGGTGTCCGTAGGCTTGCCCTCACTGTCAGAGATATAGCTCAAATACTTCCAAATGTAGCTTCTGGCATATTTTTTGTCAACAAGCCGAGGCGCAGCGGCAGTTGCACTCCCACTTGCAGCCATGCTTCTCGTTTTCTCACATGCTCTGGCAGCTAGCGCGTGCACGAGAGAGGGGAGGGATTTAGAGCGTGCTTGAGAGGGGAGGGTGCAGGCACGGCTGCAGTGCAGGGAGTGGAAGCAGAGCGCTGAACACACACGGCTCTTATTAAAACAGCGCTTTCTCACCGGAGTACTTTCCCCCGTCATTCTTAAAGTACCGATACTAATGAAACGGAGGAATCGTAACGATTTTAACGACAGGGTATCGCGGTATACCTTTCAAGTATCGGTACACCGTTCAACACTAGTCAGGAGTCAGTGTCTCCCCCAAACTCACACATATACAATTCGATATGAACTGAAGAGCCGCATGAAACTAGGCAAAGAGCCGCATGCGGCTCGAGAGCCGCGGGTTGGCCACCCCTGAAGTAGGCGGTGAACGGCATAAAACACGATTAAACGTGTTAGTATATAAAACCATGCTCGTATCTACAACCTATAGAAATGCAAAACGGCGTCAGTTTAGACGTAATTCTGTCCTCCTGCTTACCGCATCATTTATGAGAAAACATTTCATAACATTAACACAACATATTCGAGGTGGTTTTCAATTACATATCCGTATTTATTTATTTCTCCAAGTTATGTTTTTGTGTGCACTGAGGAGTCTCAAACAGGCGTTTGTTTAATCATTTTAAGATTGGCTTTAATCAATGTTTGAAAATGAATTCTTCATATATGATGAATGAGAGGTAACATTTTATTTATGGTATTATTTCCACATATTTCTCTCCATTCTTCCTTCTGCCAACGGTGTCGCAGTTTCCCATCTCTCCCGTTTTTGTGCTTAGTGCGTACGCATGGGTCAGAGTTTGCGTGGAGGACCGCACATTTTCCCGTCAAGTTAGTATTTTATAAATCGCAAACATTGCGTAGAAACTGGCGTACGCCATTTTTTGAGTGTATATCCCTTTATAAATGAGGCCCCTGAGCCTGTTTTTCAGGTCTCAGGCTCGAAAATGACATTCCCAGAACAAATGACCATATCTTCCCTTCTAAAAAAAAAGGGATAAATTAATGATCTTTTTTCTCAAAGCAAGGTTACATCTGTGAGTTGGATGTAGAAGTGTCAGAATCAATATAGATGTTTTTAGTTTAAAGTAAATTCAGATTGAACACAGTAAAAAACTGTAAATTATAGTGTCCATCCAAAAACAAAAAAATTACTTAAAAGTGAAAACCACCCTTGAATGATGGGATAGTAGACTAAAAGCTTTAGGAATCCAAACTATAACATAATAAGTACCCTGTATCAAGATTGATGCAAAACAAGTGAAATTTGACCTTTTTAGAGAGATTTAGAAAAGGAAAACACTTCTGGGGTCATTTGGGTGTATTTCACCTATCTCTGGCCCCCCTTGGTCGATTTTGATGATTGACATCTCTTTTTAACCGCTAGAGCCAATATAATCGAGGGGCGGTTCCACATACACACACAGGTTACCAAATAAGGAGTGAGAGAGACGTGTATCCAAAACCGGAAGCTGCGATAACTCTGGTGGCTACCATTAGCAGCTAATATTTATTCTCCGATTTTTACATAAAAATGGAATTATGGATTATCAATATTTTTTTCAAAGTGACAGACACATTGTTATAACCTATGGATTAACCTATAGCAGCGTTTGTCGTTTTAATGCCATTGAACACGACTTTCGATCAGAATAACAGCTAAAATGAGCATATCTCCGTGTTTGCTCCATAATGCTACGTGTTGTGAGGTCTGTGTTTGCTTCCCCTGTCGCGAGTTCTGATCGCTCAGTGATGACACTAGTACCTGTATAATCTGTGGAATCTCAGCTTTAATCGGATATCTTGTTTGTGCAGTTACGATAAGTAATAAGGATATTTTTACCTTGAGTTCTGTGCCAAGTGCGTTAGCATTTATTCGCTCAGGGGTCATTTAGACGCTTCTTATGAGACTTGTGTTTTGTTTTGGTAAAAATGGTTCATATCGTCAGTTAGCTGAGTTTCTTCCCGTTAATCTGGTATAACACATTAATAGGTTTTTAAAAATATTAAGAAGCCCTGAGACACAGTTTCTTAAAAAAAAAAAACCCGCAGCCCCATCCACCGGGGGCTCTCGGGCTAAACAAGTTAAGTATTATTCTGATAACCTTTAACTACCCATGTCGGTTTTCAGGGCAAAAGTAATCCCACAGCAGGAAATAAAAATATTGCATTTGCGGAGGGTAAAGTGCAGGAGATACCTTTAGTTTTCTTGGCTGCTGGCACACCCTCGTCCTCATCCTCCACACGGCTTTGTCCTCTCTTCATTCTCTTCCTGGTACCGAACATGTCATCATCCTCATCTGTGGAGACCTCATCTGGATACTCATCCTGAGGGAAGATGCCTGAGAGGAATGCCAATGAGACAGAGTGAGACTGGGCAGAGAGCAGGAACAAATATTTTGCTTTCATAAATATCAAACCAAGAGAAGAAAGAACGTGTGATCATCAGCTCCTACCTTCATGCAGGTCACGCAGGCTGCCATTCAACAGAAAACCAGGTGAGAGAAGAAGAAATCATTAGTTTGGGTTTAAGCAGAGATCATTCATGTTGCAGGATAAAGACTCCAGGACCATAACTCAACTAAGTACGCCCAAGAGTTTGTTAGGGTGTGCAGCCTCACACACACCGCTGTGCGGCTCCTGAGGAGCTGGGCTAAATAACCTCAGTCATTCTCCATCTCTTTGGCAGCTGTAATCACCCAGATGTATAGGGATGCACTGATGCATTGGCAAGACATAATTTCCGGACGATTTTCGCCCCATTTCTCTTCATAGGCACATCAGCTGTAAAGAAATGTGGCCTCCTCTCCTCTGTGTGAGGAGCAGCTGCTGCAGGATCTCCTCTGTGCAGTGTCTTCACAATCGGTAAATGAAATCCTACATTCAGACTTCTCCACTCGGACGAATGTTTCACAACTTGTAAACTTGTCTGACGTGTTGCTGGTCGTTCAGTCTGCAGTCAATCGTTCTCATCTGCTCTGTGTGTAATGTATTGATGACACCCACACACTGACAGCCAGCTGTTTAGTGATAGGCATGTTTATACAAGCACAAGAATGGATAAGATGGACAGAGCAATGGAAACTGACCAGAGTACAGCCTGTAGACCACACAGCTCATCAAAATACAACAGCCTCCTGGTCAGAGGCGAGTGCTGTGGATGTCAGGACTAGGGATGGGTACCGAGCCCCGGTATTAAACGGGCCCCGGGGCTGAATTATTAAAGACCGTGGTACCGTTAAGCTCCGACGTCATCGGTCTTTTTATCGGTACTGGAGACATCTAAAATATATGTCATATGTATTATTGCAACACCAGAGGTTCTCAAACTTTTTCTTTCATTCCCTACTTTGAACAGGTGGGCCTTTTCAAGCCCCACCTGTTCCTCATCGCTCCAATAAAATGGTAGGCCAAGCTTAAAATTGTCAAATGTATAACGGGGGTCTCCAACCTGTTTTTAGGATGAGAGCTACTTTCAATATATGCATCCGATGAAGCATTGCATGAAGTCTGTTGTTGGGGCTGCATAAATGTTTTTTAATTTAAATTTTGTAGGCAGACCATGCAGGCCTCAGAGAGTTAAACTTGGGCCTTTGTGTCGTACTATGCGGTGTATTTTGCATATCTCTCAGTAGCCAACGATCTGTGAGTCTGTTGGCTCAGACATAAACTCCGTAATAAATGTAGTCTACATTGCATAAGAGGTGTAAAACCTGAGCATTTTAAATCTCATTTGAACGAAAGGCTTATATAATCTGTAGTTGTATTGTTGATTTAAGGCGAGACACCCCAGGTGAATAGGGTATTTTTTTTAACTTAAAGGTATCAGCTAGACATTTCTCCAGTTAATTACTTACAATAAGGCAATTGTCTTTTGTATTACAAGTTTTCTGAAATAGCATGTTTAAATATACAAATTAACTATTATCTCATTAAATATGCGCATATTTTAACACATTTCAGGAATCGAAATCTGAACTTTGGATAAAGCCAGATTCAAAATTCTTGTTTCATTTTGTAGTCATATTTGTATCTAAGGCTTTTACAGAAGGGATTTTGGATATCTCTTTGTATCACTCCATAAATCAGAAAATACTGTCAACAGCCCTAAAATATCAATTTTCGCCATGTTTTAGGTATACAATGTTGTATAATTCAGGCTATGAATGATATATGAACAAACCCTTCTGTAAAAGCCTTCATAATATTGATAGGAATATAACTGGAAGGTTTGGTGTATGTACGTGCTACTGAAGTTGAAATTTCGAACTCAGAGTAGGAGAAAAAACTCATTTTGAGAAAACGACCTTTAAAGATTGCAGTGAGGCGCTAGCTAAACCCTCTGTTCTTTGGATGACAGCTTGCGCCTCGACGCACTCCGTGAAGGTATTTCATGTTCAGGGTCATTTTTTTTTTATAACCTTGCTTCGTGCAAGTGACAATTGTTGTCGTCTTCTCTGTGAACGTTTTTTTCGCCGTTCTTTTGGCATTTTGAGATTTCAATTTCTAGCGGAAAGCTAACCAGGAAGTGTTTTAGCACACCACGTGACGCATCTGAACGAATCACGTTGTCAGAAATTGACACCAGCCAATGAGATTTTGTTTCTTGGTTTAAGACCCCTTTGTGCTTTCACGATTGGTTGCTGATACAAAGGAAATGACCATATTTGGATCTGATGAGATTGTGCAGGAGAGACACAGCTTTCCAGCGATACCTCTGTTGACATGGTGCACACAGCAGTCGAGGTACTTTATGTTACGTTAGAATGCTAACTTTTGGTGAATTTAGGAGAAATCTACAGACGCAAATAGACAAACTATAGTAAAATAAACACTTAAATGTGTATTTTGTACGTTTTCTTTCCAAAAGCCTGAAAGAAAACATGTTTTGGAATGAAAATAGCACAAAATCTCAAAATTGACCAGTACTTGAAAAACGATGTTTTTGCCTGCCGTGTCTCGCCTTAATGTGTGAACGAGGCGATATAGAGAAAGTTAAGCTGTCATTATTAGGCTGTCATTTGTTATACTGTTGGAGTGGTAAGCAGGCCTATTGTTGTTGGATATTTGTGGAGTTAGGTGGTCCGTGAGTGTATTTTATTGGTTAAGTGGTCCTTGGTATGAAAAAGTTTTAAAACAATTTTTATTTTTGTAATCATCTCCCGGGGGGTCACGACCCCCACTTTGGGAACCCCTGCTATAGTACACATTGGAATGATTTCTTACTTTATTTTGTACAACTAGGCTATATTAAATAGATAAAGGTGTGCTCTCTCTTGCTCTGTCTGTCTCGCTCGCTCACAGAGGCTGTGTGCTCCTCCGTGGCGATGATGGCTTGCGTTAAAAAATAATAATAAACATAGGCCTATTTGTAAAGTGGGGGGACACAAACGGGATTTCGAAAAGTGTCACGGTTAAACTCCTTATGAAGTGGTGAGATGCCGCTCCACATTGCTTTTCTTCCCGACTGCAACGCTGTTGTGTGTGTGTATGAGAGATTTTTACATAAGTCTGTAAATGATTTCGGTTTCAGTTGTGTGTGAGCAGGCTCGGAGTGGCCATCGAGAGATTCGGGACTTTTCCCAGTGGGCCACTGGGGTTGATGGGCTGCTGCCTTCGGTGGGCTGCTGCCTCTGACATAGGTGGACCGTGGACTTTCACAACGCTGCTGCACCGGTACCGTTGCGCGGCTCCGGCTGGTCCGGCGCAGTTGAAGTCCACCGCCGTTGCGAGTCTCCGGCTGTAACAGTCCACTACCACCCGCGAGGACCCAGGTTCGATTCCGGCCTGAGGTCCATTTTTACGTCCTTTGAGAGGATTGTCAGGACTAGCAAATACTATATATTTGTGTTTAGATGTGAAAGCTGTTTTTTCAGACCACAATGGCTGACAGCGGAGGAGAAATGGATTTGGTGAAGCTCGCAAGCCAGTCGCAGCCGGGGGAAGGGTTTGTCCACCACTTCCAACTCACTAACTACAGTGGTACCTCACAGCCTCCGAGGAGCACTGCATTAATGGGAATGCCTGATATTCTCAACTGATCCACTTAGTGTTTGGAGCCATATAAGTTTGCAAACTTGAGTTGTCTAACCAAGGCAGCGGCGAGACTTACAAGAAGAATTAAATTACCACAGACCAATTCAACTCTTGAGGGAAGAAAGGAGGATGGATTTTGAGTACAAATAATCAAACGCTTAAATAACTTTTTTTGTTGTTGATATTTTTCTTGTCATTTTATGAAGTAAATATTGATGCTTCTGCTAGAGATGACATATGTGTCGCAGCTGTAGCTGCAGTGAAAGGAGACTTGTTGAATTGTGTTATCTGGGTTTCCTGCTTTAGTAACGGCATTCATTCTCGCTACATTAGATATCTATCTGTGATGCAACGCCCTGTTATTCTGCGTTTCTGTATAATATTAATGCTTTCTATAGCCGTGGCGTCATAATGATGGTATCAAGAGGTGTATTTATTCAGGTAGGAAACTACTGAAGGCATAGGGGTGAAATGCACAGCTACTGCTAAGAAACATTTAAATACATTCAGGAATTTACTGTGGAATAACTTAAAGAGTAGTGACATGGATTGGTATGCAATCTCTGAAAATATTTGTTTTAGTCTTGTGGTATTGACCATGCTGTATTTAGCTGAAACAGTAAGTACAGTGCCAATGTAGCCAATATAAATGCTGCAAAAATAAGAATGTGAAACAATCCTATTATTAATATGGCCTTTGAATTTAAATCCCAGAAAGGATAACTGTAAACGTTGATCACAAAGGACACATACACACAGTATTGTTATGGTTTTACTCACACTCTGATGATTTTGTACAGCCTCTGTCTGTTCTGGCTGGGGGTGCTGCTGCGACTGGCCAACCCAAACAGCTTGTCTGCAAGGGCCGTGTAGGCAAACTGCACAATACACAGAGAGCTCGTCAGAAAACAAACGAGGTCATCTCTATTACAAATGTCCACAGTCTGGGCCAAACTGATGAGTTCAACTAAACATATTGGCTACAAATGTTTCCCCACACAGAAACAAACTGCTCTGAGATGAGTTGACAGATTCATGTAAAAATATTACTGATTTTCAGCTGCTATAGTTTCCTTTAGTTTAACAAGTTAATTAAGCTTATAATATGGAGAGAATAATATAGAACAGTATAGTTTAAAATAAGTGGCATGCATTGGATTGAAATGTTAAACCATAGCAGATTTCATCTCAAAAGAAAAACACCATTAAAAGAGAGAAAGCCTTCACCTGTAGCACTGGGCCGACCACTTCATCACATGGCTCTTCTGTTTCAGAATCCTCCTCCAGGTGAAGAAGCTCATCATCATCATCATCATCATCATCATCATCATCATCATCATCATCATCATCATCATCATTATCATCCTCTTCTTCATTTGATTTATTGCCTGAAAAAAAAGAAAAACTAAAATACTCAAGTATCCATTACTTTACTTCTTGTTAGTCCTGCATTCTATTTTAGGCTTAGCAGCTGCCGAGTTGACCAGTTACATTTCAACTTTCAATATCTCAAAATTGTATTAAATGTCACACAAAGTATTATTTCAGAACGCAGATAAGTTGTCCAGTAGCATAAATAGGTAATCCTTTTTATGCTATACACAAACATGAACTAGTAATTACTTAGAGAACACAAATCGGAAAATGACAGAAGATCTGGGCAGAATAATGAATCACTCGCAGTTTTCCATGACGCGCAGTTTCGGAAATAGGAAATATAATTAACCCGTCAGGAGTTGATCCAGTGAGCCATACCGTTGATCTGCTTCCTCCCTATCTCACAGACAGCTTTGCTCTTCCTCTCTTTCGGCTGCTCGTCACCGTCGTCTTCTTCTGAAGCCTGTCCTGAGTCTGAGTCCTCCGCTGCCTTCACCTCCTTCATCAAATCGTCGATAGCAAAGGGGGCCTGGTCGATGATAGTGCAGAGGATGCTGTTGCAGATGGCCCCGAACAGAGCCCGGCTTTAGAGACAGACACAAGCAAAGATGAGCGGAGGGAAGGGAGTCGGCACTAAACACAACAGCACCAAGTTTACTTTGAATACAGTTGTAGTGCCCTGGTCCTAATGACATTAGCCTTTCCTATTCTGAAATCCTCTGATCACATGTTTCTATAGTAAGACAGCATCACAACACATGCTGATGTGGACTCACTCTTTGGTTTTGGCTGATGTTTTGCAGAATGGCTCAATGAAAATCAAGTTCTGGTCAGCAGTGAGCTGTGAAAAGAAAAAAACCATGTGAGGACCATTACATACACCATACATCCATTAGTTCCTCAGAACAAAGTGCTGCAACTGGTTTAAAAACAAAACCAAACAAAGAATTCAACAGTCTGAAAAAAATGACACAGGATGCCTTGGTCAATAATCACATCCCATTTCTCAACAATAGCAAAAATAAATAAAAATAACCAAAACAGCAGTTCAGTTCATAATCAGAACACGAAAAAGCTGAAAAACACACTGAAGTACCAGACATTTTGCTACTTTAAGATAAGCATGGGGTTATCAGAGAGGGTAATTGAAGAAACCAACAATGGCAACAGTGGCCAACCAGCTTCAAATTAACTCTGTTCCATTTTAGCCCCATCCCAGTTATTCATCTCAAGCCAGGGACCAGCTGTACCTCTGCTGCGCCCACTGCTGCCAGCTCGCTCAGATACAGGTCCAGGATGTGGAACTGCAGGCCACAGGGGGCCCCGCTGCTGCTCTGCAGGAGCTGTGCTGTCAGCAACTCCAGGAACCTGCCGACCGCACTGAGGACACACACACACACACACCGTTATTCACCTAGGACAGGGGTGGGGAACCTCCGGGCGGTATACGGACCGCGAGACCATTTGGTACGGCCCTCGAGGAAATGTATGAACACACGCAAACAATTTAAAAATTAAAGCAATCTAGACTGCAAAATAATTAAATAAGCGAGTGCCTGTTTTTCCTGGCCAAGGTCAGGGTCCTTGAACACAACACAAGCCTAATGTGTCATCACGTGGTATATGTCTGGTCTGACAGGGGTGTAGTTCTGCCGGAGAGCACCAGAACGTCGCTCCGGCACGGCAAAAAGTGCAGTACCCATAAGGAGTAAGCTGCAGTTTTTGCGTGGCTGTGTCTTTATTCATCTGTTCATCTGTCATACAGTCAATAACTTTGTTGTTATTAGCATCTGGTTAGCTAGCTATGCTAACGAATATAAGAAGCTTTTTCTACAACCAGTGAGCAGGGCTCGACATTAACGACTGCCCGAGGCAATCTAGTATTTAGCACGGGCAATGAAGCCTCACCTGCTGGTGGCCCGATCGGGCAATGAAGCCTCACCTGCTGGTGGCCCGATCGGGCAATGAAGCCTCACCTGCTGGTGGCCCGATCGGGCAATGAAGCCTCACCTGCTGGTGGCCCGATCGGGCAATGAAGCCTCACCTGCTGGTGGCCCGATCGGGCAATGAAGCCTCACCTGCTGGTGGCCCGATCGGGCAATGAAGCCTCACCTGCTGGTGGCCCGATCGGGCAATGAAGCCTCACCTGCTGGTGGCCCGATCGGGCAATCTATTATGCAGGGTTCCCGCGGGGTCTTAAAATGTTTTAAATTTGATCATCTGAATTTAAGGCCTTAAAAAGGTCTTAATATGACAAAAAAAATAAGAAAGGTCTTAAATATGATTTAGAAGGTCTTAAAAATTATCGGATTTTGAAAGGTACTTCTGTGTAGCGATTGCCTCTAAATGTGTTTTTGGGGAAATGTCCGGGCTGCAAAGTAACCTGTACGGTAAGAGCCTTTCAGTTCCCCCCAACAATCTGTATTGAAATAAATCAACATGGAACCAGTAATCACTAACTTTGTTTCTCCCGGCCCCTTATTGGAGAACACCCAGCTAGTAACCTAGCAACCAAGCTTCAGCTAGCGGCAGTCAGAAACTCATGGATCTTTGAATCTACTTACAAATAAATATGGGGAAGTGTAAGTTCAATTTGGTTGGAAAACATCGAATTTAGTGCTTGGTTGAAACCAGTGGAGGGAACGTGTTTGAAGCCTGCTGCACCTTTTGCAAAATAAATGTGCGTTTGTTTTGCTAATGTAGCGTTTGCTAGTGCAGCAGCTCCCGCAATAACACCGGGGGACCTCCGGGCGACGTTTGGGTCTACGTCAACCCTAAAAGCGGAGGTGATGTAGACGCTAAATACCGTAGCTAAACACCAATCATACAACAGCAACGATGAAAGATTGTAGCCAAGGCAGCTCAGTCTCTCACTCTCTCTCAAATATGTTCTAGTCAGAGGTTGCGCTAGACTTTTTTCGAATCTGTCAAAATGACGGACTGCTTTCAGATTTTTTCGTCATTGTTAAAAAAAAATCCGTCATAGACGGAAAATATTCGGTTAACGCGACCTCTGGTTCTAGTGCACTGACATAACCTAGCAAAGCAAAATAATGTTTTCGTAATTGTGGCAGGCCAAAATCGTAATTGCGATTAAAATACGATGAATTGCACAGCCCTAACACACACACACTTTTTGTCTAACACACTAACACAGTTCTGTACTGTTATGCTGTTATGTTCAGTCATTGTTCTTATGTTGAACATGAATACATTTACTTTGTAAGTAATTATGGGACGTATTTCTTCTTTCATAGCAATTTTCCTTCATACTTTCTTGCCGTGAAATAGGTCTTAAATTCTATTCAAATCCTTAATGTCATGCACTGAGTGAGGTAAAGGCACATCTTTATATGATCATTATAGTTCTAAAAAAATAAGCGACTAAAGTAAACGGGTCTAAAATACTATATGACAGTAAAAGAAAGTTGTTATTAATAAACAAGAATACAGTTTAAAAGGAGTGTGATTTGTAAAATATCCATAAAGAAAAAGAGGAATCTGCTTACAGTAGTGCTGTAGCGACTTCAAAATATCGTCGACGACATATTTCCGCGTCGACACACACACGTGGGTCACCCAAAGCAACAAGCAGTTCGCAATCGCACTTCAAACACAATGGAGACTGAAACGGCTACCACCTCCTCCTCACAGGATTGCGCACGAAGCCCCCAAACGAAAACATCTCGCCCTAGGTCTTCAAAAGCATGGGAATATTTTAAAGTTAGTCCAAAACGCAAAGATATTTATATATTTATATCTCACTGAGACTGCTGCATAGCCTAGCAGAAGCAGCAGCTAGCTGTGGTGGCTACCATTAGCAGCTAGCATTTGCTCTCCGATTTTTTACATAAAATGGAATTATGGATTATAAATTCAAACATTTTTTTAAACATAGACGTTAAAAACCTCATTTTTTCTTTTTCGCGTTTTTTCTCATTTTAATGCCATTGAACACGTCTTTTGATCAGATTGACAGCTACGGTGGTGAGACGATCTCCCTAGAAGCTCTGTGAAGGTACGTGTTGTGATGACTGTATTTGCTTCCCCTGTCGCGAGTCCGGATCACTCAGTGATGATACTATATACCTACATAATCTGTGGAGTCTCAGCTTTAATCGGATATATTGTATGTGCAGCTACGATAAGTAATAAGGGTACTTTTATCTTGAGTTCTGTGCCATTTTTCGCTCAGGGGTCATTTAGATGCTTCTTATGAGACTTGTGTTTTGTTTTGGTAAACATGGTTTGTATCGGCAGTTAGCTGAGATTATTTCCGTTAATCTGGTATAACACATTAATAGGTTCTTAAATATTAAGATCCCCTGAGACACAGTATCGTGAAAAAAAATTTTTTTACATTACGTTTTTTATGAATTGAACAACAGAAAAATAATCGTTAGATTAGTCGACTAATCGATCAAATAATCGCCCGATTAATCGTTTTCAAAATAATCGTTTCCCCCCAGCACTAGCTTACAGGTCTGTTTCATATGGATGTTGAGAGATGTATCCATAGAGCTCCTAATGTTGCTCTCAAAGTGCACCAGATTGGTGCTTTTAACTTTAACATTTTTTTTTAAAAATCTTCCTGGGGGAGCATGCCCCCGGACCCCCCTAGAGGAGGTCAATCATTTTACGGCCCTCGGAGGATGTTGAACAAATTGAAATGGCCCTTGAGAGGAAAAAGGTTCCCCACCCCTGACCTAAGAGAACACCATTTGACACATGAGCAAGACTGTCTGTAGAGATCTTTTAACTGCAGCTGTCATCTTAAACACTTCAATGCTCACTATTAATCTGGACATCTTAAAACATTAAAAAAAATGTATGCAAAATAATCCCATTACCAATTTTTACCCCAACGTCCTCCCCCATACAGAGCGGATGTTCACAGGGGATTGCATGGCAGTGAAAGGGTAAATAAGCCCATTAAACCGAGGGGAATCACAGCAGCTCTCTGTGACAGCGGCTTTGATCAAGCTTTAGCTAAATGTCCGAAAATTGTCAGACTTAATGCCCATAATTCAGAAATCATCAAAAACGTGATTTCTCTCACCAGTTTGTCGTGTATTTCTTTATTACAACACCACATGGTTATTTGTTTTATCCCTCCAAAACATATTTACTATTATTTTAAACCTAATTATCATGATTATTCACAATGTAATCACAGTTTAATTGTTAGTTTTAACATATTACCTGCTCTCCCAGTTTTTCCTCTTCAGCATCTCAAAGGTTTGTCTGAACATGAAGCGAACCAGCTGTTAACAAGAGGAAAACAATCATTAATATTAGGAAGAAATTAACACATCCACAATCTTTAGAACACATGTCAGATATCAGTGTTGATGCAACCTTTGTTAATGAGCAATAACATCTATTGGAGGAATTACGTTATATGAATACATCACGTCAGTTTGGAGATGATAATGTGAGAAAATGAAAACAGGTCATACATGCAGCTGATTCAGTGGGAAACTGATATTTGCTGTTGACTTGCTTCCTTTATCAGCTGTTGTTTCCTGCAGCTTATGAGCCAGATTGATTTTTGTTTTGCTGGGTTTTCCGAGAAGGTGTTTCAGCTGGCTACCAGATAGGGCTGCACGATTTTATATATATATATATAAAAAAAAAAAATAAAAAAAATAATAAATAAATTAAAAAAAAAAAAAAACTAATTGCGATTTTTCTGACAAATATTGCGATTGCGATTTGCGATATTTGTTTTTAAGCGACCCAACGGAAGTTTATTGTAAAATGCGGCCATAACTCCGGCTAGGAACGTCGTATCAACGTGCTCCCGTCTCTAGCACCCCCGCAGCCTGAGCTACGAGTGAAAGAACTAAACTTACATGAAACTTCCGTTGGGTTGCTTTAAAGTCAAGCTTCAGTTTAAGATTCACCCTGTAATAGAAACATGTGATGGAGCATTACTAATCTGACTCAGATGGTTTGTTTCACCAAACCATCTAAAGCTACATTGGAAGCCATTTGGAAAGGGCAGGCACTTTCAGAAGCACTTGGCAGGTGATTGGATCAATCTGTCTATCACCTGCTATCATGGGCTACTTCTGATTGATTAACAATGGCTGGTACATGTGGAGCACAGCACTTCTGATTGGTGTGGATGACTGACACACAAGAAAAAAAAAGAAAAACATTGTATAAAAAAAAAAAGGTTTAAAAAAAAATCGCATCATTTAAAATCGCGATTTCGATTTAAAATCGATTAATCGTTCAGCCCTACTACCAGATGTGATTTCGCCTTAGGACTTGATGTTGACACAAGCCTTATATGAGGAATAACTGACATGCCCATGTTTTTATTAACAGCTCAGCACACCCAACATCTCAACAGTTCTCATCACTGACTCAAACCTGATTGAGGGACTGCCGACCCGCAGCTCTCAGCTGGCACAGGACTAATGGGCACGAACCCACAGCCCGCTCCCCCCCACCACACACATGTGAAAGTCATCGAGTATCTCCTAACACCAACCTGGAAGAACTTGTCCATCCGCAGCCTGTCGATACCTGTCCACTCCCTCTTCAACGTCTGCAGGAAGCTCTCCAAGTACAACAGCTCTGCAGGGTACAGCATCATCATCATCATCATCATCATGCATCATATTACATCACATGGTATTATGAAACCTGACATGGAAACTTACGTCCATCGATGTGGTGGAAGCTGTGGATCAGGGCGGAGATCTGGTTTGACAGCTCCTCCTTAAAGAGAAAAGTGAGACTGCATGAACAGAAACATCGACACAGGGAGGACGGGTGACAACTGGATCATAATCACATTTGAGGATGTATGACATGAACACATTCAAATGGTTCTGTATTGGACTTTGAGTCACTCCATGAAGACACTTTACTGGAATGTTGTGACTGATGTCAAGACAATATTTTATCCAGGAACTAGTAATGGCTACCGAAATAAAAGTGAATACACATTGGGTATAAAAATGTGGGACATTGTAGTGAAAGGCATGTCCACAGTCCGGCTAGATTTAATACAGCGCGCAGCTTCTGTCTCATAATGTATTATTTATGGCCCGCATAAATCTTTAAAATGTAATTCATCCTTTTACCACATGGGGGCAGCACCACTTTAAAGGGCCGCAATTTAAGCCGATTGGTATTTGCCTTTTCTGTTAAAGACGGTGTATTGCAGTGTTTGTATTTCCTGGTTTCTATTATTTTTGGGTGGAACTCTTGTTGACTGCAAGAGCTGAAATTGAACCCGCAACCTCCAGCTTGAAAGACTAACACACTAACGCAGTGCCACAGTTGAACCTGGTGGTGTTGCTGGCTGGATTAAAGGGTACATAATTAGTGGGGGCTTGAATGTGTAGTAAAAAAGCTAAAACACATGGAAAAGCAGCACAGCATTTTAACTGCAACCTTTTCAACTAAAACCATGTCACCAAATGTATAAAAGAGGAAAATGTTTATGAAAAGAGTTTATGGAGTTTCCATCAGACCGTATAGAACAGGCTGAGTCTGTCAAACTCCAGTCTGTGCTGAGCACCTGATCATAACACCTGTGTCTTGAGATCAAAGGTTACCATGGAGATGTGCAGTGAAAGGAGAGCCTTTCCATTGTTTGCCCTGTTCTGCTTGAAAGCAAGTACCTGCCTCCTGCCAACTGTTAAAACAAATGTTTCAACTTGTACAATTTTGAATATGTAAATTCAAATACAAGTTGAAACGATCTTAAGTTGGAGTGACGTTGAAGGCGTGCGACCCTAGCATGTTGCTTCTACGATTAGAAAATGATAAAAGTAGGGTAGACATGTGGAGATTATCTGGCTGAACAAAACGTGCATTTATAAAACAGGTTTGATTTCCACAGATCTTATTTTTGACAATATTCCAAAATCCTATGGAGAAATCCCATTGCTATTTTGTCGAGGGAACCCATGCGCCGCTTACTTCTGGGGCGGCCTACAAAAATACATCATCCCTGCACCACTCTATTGGGAGCTGGGAAAAAAAAGATGCCACATTCGTACCCTCAAGAGGCATTTTTTTTTTTAAGGGTTTTGCTTCTTAAAAAAAAAATCAAGTCATGATAATTCTACTACGTTTTTCCTCCGGAATAATGTCCCAGGAGTGTATGAAAGAAGTGGGATTGAAGGCAGGTTTAAAATATATTTTTGGAGGCGAATTTCAAGCTCTCCTCCACTCTGTTTGAGCTCAAAGCACTCTAACGGCCCGTCTACACTACAGGCGTCGAAAAAGCTTGAAGCTGGGCGTGTCTGAGGCTTGACGATATTTTGCGAGCAACGAGACCAACAACCAATCACATGAATCTCCCGCCCCCGACATACAAAGCAATAGCAATGTTAAAACGAAGTAAACTGGATATAAAATCCCCAAACAGGGGAAAACCTACCAGTTTCATCCACTGTCTCTGCCACCTCCCTCCATGCCTCGCTCCTCTGGTTTGTATCCCGGTAGATGAACAGAGACTGATCATACAGCACCGGGTGATTCACTACCGCTATAATGAATTTTCCCTCCATTTTTTTGAATATGAGGAAATGACCTGCGTAGTCTCTCCCAGCATACACGCGGTTTGATTGGCTAGTGCTTGTACTGGCAGATTTGCATAAACGGGATTTCATTGGCTGACGCCAGCTTCGAGCAAGCATCGAGCCTCAAAAGTTGAACATCAGGGGTGGCCAACCAGTCAGAGGTTAAGAGCCACATTTTTTCTATGTTACTGCAAAGAGCCACATCAAACACACAGTCACTGATACCGCTTGTTTCCGTTTTTTGTTTTCTGGAGACAAGATTTCAACCACGTCACTGATGCGTTTTTGTGGCATTGGGATATATATTTTTTAAATCCTCTGGAGCAGAGAGAGGAGCTGTGGATTATTGTTATTGATTATTGCATCAGTGTTTCTTAGGGTCAAAAACACTAAACTCACAACTTCAAATGAAAGCGTTTAGTTTATTTAATAAAAGAGCACAAGTTCAATGTGAAAAGTGACAGTAGTTATAGATTATTTGCAATTTGGTGCTATATATATATTTAAAAAAAATAAAATATATATATTTTTTAAACACCTTGAATTTCAGGGGGGGGGGCGCGGGGCTCCGTTGGCGGGGCGCAGCGCCCCTCCAACACAATGGTAGGGGTAACACTGGATAGTGTTTAATCAACGATAGGTTTTCCCCCCCTCAGAGGTGATTGGTTCACTGCATCGCAGGTATTATTGTAATTGGCTCTTGGGCCACATCAAAATTAGACGCGCTGTCATCCTCTCATACTGACGCCTGACACCACACATACACACATAGGGAGAGCCGGGACGAAAGTAACACGGGATGAAAGTAACGGAGCGGTTTTATCCGAGCCCAAACAACTTTGACCGGCCAAATTACGTCAGAATTATCAGCATTCAATACTTAACCGACCTACTAAATATCAGGTTTAACTGTCAGGAGTAGCTAGTGTTGTCACGATACCAACATTTTGGTTTCGATACCAAGTCAAGAATTGCGATTCCGATTATTTTTCAATACTTTTCTTAAAAAAAGGGAAACAGTCTTAAATGTAATTATTGTGCTTTATTTCACACCAGAACCATAACACAAACTTTTAAACAATGAGAACAATAAATAAAATAAATGACAAGAATTCGTATTCAATAAAATTAATACATTTCTTACAGACAGGCCTCGTGGTGTCCGTAGGCTTGCCCTCACTGTCAGAGATATAGCTCAAATACTTCCAAATGTAGCTTCTGGCGTCTTTTTTGTCAACAAGCCGAGGCGCAGCGGCAGTTGCACTCCCACTTGCAGCCATGCTTCTCGTTTTCTCACATGCTCTGGCAGCTAGCGCGTGCACGAGAGAGGGGAGGCACTTAGAGCGTGCTTGAGAAGGGAGGCACTTAGAGCGTGCTTGAGAGGGAGGGACTGCAGGCACGGCTGCAGTGCAGGGAGTGGAAGCAGAGCGCTGAACACACACGGCTCTTATTAAAATGGCGCTTTCTCACCGGAGTACTTTTCCCCGTCATTCTTAAAGTACCGATACTAATGAAACGGAGGAATCGTAACATTTTTAACGGCAGGGTATCGCTGTACCTTTCAAGTATCGGTACACCGTGCAACACTAGTCAGGAGTCAGTGTCTCTCCCCCAAACTCACACATATACAATTCGATATGAACTGAAGAGCCGCATGAAACTAGGCAAAGAGCCGCATGCGGCTCGAGAACCGCAGGTTGGCCACCCCTGTTGAACATTGTTCAACTTTTGACGCCGATAGACGCTCGCGATGCTTGCAACGCCTTGCCATGCTACCCACAATGCAGTTCGGCGAAGTTTGAAAATATCCTACGTCACCCCATTCAAATGAATGGGCGAAGCGTTGAAAGCATTTTTTGACGCCTGTAGTGTAGACGGGCCGTGAGGCCCAAGCCTGTTTTTCAGGTCTCAAGCTCGAAAATGACATTCTCAGAACAAATGACAATAATTTCTCTTCTAAAAGGGGAAAATTAATAATTTTTTTCTCAAAGAAATGATAAACCTGTGAGTTGGATGTAGAAAATTCAGAATCAATATAGATTTTTTTTAAATTTTAAAATCAATTCAGATTGAACATAGTAAAGAAAATGTAAATTATATTGTTCGTCCAAAAATAAACCATTACTTATAGTGAAAACTACCCTTGAATGATGGGATAGTAGACTAAAAGCTTTAGGAATCCAAACTATAACATATAATAAGTACCCTGTATCAAGAGTGACATTTGACCTTTTTAGAGAGGTTTAGCAACAACAAAACACCTCTGGGGTCATTTGGATGGAAATGGGTGTATTTGCCGTTTGATTGTAGATTGTTAATATTGTCTGATAGCTGAGTTTCTTCCTGTTAAGTGGGTATGACATGAATAGGTTTTTAATAGGGCTGTACCCGAATATCGGTTTGTTGGAGTACTATTCGGGTATCAATTTCGTTATTCGGATATTCGTTTTTTTATTTATTGAAATCTCCAATATCAACGTAAGAGCTTGTGCCTCTTTGGGGGGTGCTAACACTTAACCACAAACTTTATTGTTTACTTTCTCCGTCTTTATATGTAGATATGACTTTTCTCTGTTAATCTCCGTCACGTTGTTTCCATACACTGTAAAAAAAGAAATCCTAATTTTACAGGAAATAACTACATTTTTATAGTAATTATCATGTTTTTTTAAATAACTTGCAAAATCCTGTAAAATGACAGATATTAACTATAAATTAACAACCCAAAACATTATTTTAAGTATTTTGACAACAACAAATAACATTTATTTCCTTTTTTTTTTACAGTAAATTTACTATATAATATTTACAGTATTTTTGCACTTTCAGAAAATACATGCAGATGTACGTAAAATAAAAAGTATTATCTGTAATTAAATATGTAACTCGTAATATAAAAGTGTATTACTATTATGGGCTAGTTGTACAAGATGGCGTCTATCAACTTCCGGCGGCTGGGTGTGCAGTTGTAAACTTCCGGTCTACAGTAGAGCGGTAGAGGGAAGAGCGATAGATAGCGCATAGATAGCGAGAGAGATAGCGTATAGATATTATATAGGCACTATTTTACACTCGATGTCTCCAAGACCTACCGAAGGTTAACATCAGTGATGTACATCGGCTGGTACAAGCGGCAGGCTCAGCCCCGAAGAGCAAAAGAGAAAAGGGGTTCAAGATGTAGCT